GGGCTCTCGCCATCTTGTCTGCCACGTCCTTCTTGGGGCCCTTCTCGTTGCCTCGGTAGGAGGAGCGCTCGGACGTTGAATGCGGAAGCGTCGAGTCACCATGCGCCCACAGTGTGGGCGTGATTTGCGGACGTCGCCTCGCATACTCTGCCCGCAGGCAGGGGTCTCAACTGGAGAAGGGGGTGACGAAACGCTCCAACAAGCAGCCCGTGCGAACTCCAAGGATGATGACGTCAAGGCAGCGGTAAGGTTGGAGCTACTCGGAAACAAGGCCGAACTATGGAAATCGGCGCCATCACAAGGCAAGCACAAGGGCGGGCTGGGGACAGCTGGGGACGCGATGAGTTCAAGCCCCGGCAGAAAGGTTCAATCCGAGGCAGAAGGGTTCAATTCCCGGAGGCAGGTTAGATCCACGGCAGAAGTGTTCAATCCCTGGCATCCACCCTCATCACATGTCGACAAGTAAGGGAGACTCTTGAGCTCAGGATGCCCATGCGAGTCCTTGAGGGATCCACATGAAGTCTGGCCTTCCAGTTGGAATCAATTTGGGTTCCTAATCGGATCCAAAGCTATCTTGCTGTATTGCCATTGACTTCCTCTCTAACGGATTTCTCTCTATCGGGGTCCGATTCGGGATCTTATTGGCATCGAAGCGGGTCCCTTCCTGTTGAATACCTGTTCGCGTCCTAATCATTGTAAGCCCATTGGAATCCAACGCTTCCTTGCCACGGGGGTCCATCTGGGCGGTTTTATGGGTTCCTATTCGGATTCCAAGCGATTGGGTTCCTATTGGGGCCTGATTGGGTTTCTAATTGGCTTCGGAGAAAAAATTAAAGTGCATTCCCGTTGAAGTTGTCTTTGTGCGACCATTGGCAATCGTGAATTTGTTGTGTGCCGTGCTGATGCGACGCGTACTGCCGAGAGGGCTCCAAGAGGCCCCCCTGGTGTTGTTTACTTGTTTTGAGCTGGACTCCAGGAGCTGCTGCCTGTGATAATGATATGGGACGACATGGCTTAATTCGCCGGACGAAGGACCCAACCATATGCAGGTGTGAGTACCGCAATTATGATTCACTTTTTCGGTGGTGATTCCCATGAGGCAACGAACCGTGCTAGGGGTGTGCCGAAATGAGTGGCGTGGTACACAACGCGAAAGAAAACGATTGATCTGAGTACGTAGGGTGACTGAGCGCGGGTGAATCTGAGCGCGAGTACGTCTGACTGTGAATGAATCTGCGTGCGAGTGAGTCTACGTGCATGAACGCGAGTATGACAAAGCATGGTGTAATTGTATATGAATGTCAATCGTTTGAGAACGACTGCCTCTGAATACTCGTGAAGCTGGGCGTGGCCGCCGCAAAGAGCTTCCCCGGGACTCCCCGACGGCATCGCCCGCGCGCCGCGACGCCAATGTCGGCGCGCCCCCCCGCGAGGATCGCGCCCGCTTCCTCCCCTTGATACCTAACAGCGAAGACTGATAGGTTTCTAGTAAGGTCAAAAGAGAGCATCATGACTTCCCAAGGGGGTCTGGGCGGGATCCGGACGGGAATCCTGGGATTCCTTTTTTAGCCAACAGTGACGCACTTCGTGGTCTTCGAGTTCCCAGAACTCCATTCCTGGGCATGATTTTGAATGCCCGGAGCCAACTGTAGGCCACTTCGTGTTCTTCGAGTTCCCAGAACTCCATTCCTGGGCATGATTTTGAATGCCCAGAGCCAACTGTAGGCCACTTCGTGGTCATCGAGTTCCCAGAACTCGATTCCTGGGCATGATTTGAATGCCCGGAGCCAACTGTAGGCCACTTCGTGGTCTTCGAGTTCCCAGAACTCCATTCCTGGGCATGATTTTGAATGCCCGGAGCCAACTGTAGGCCACTTCGTGTTCTTCGAGTTCCCAGAACTCCATTCCCGGGCCACATTTTGAATGCTGAGGCAGGCTGATGCTGAGGCTGAGGCAGGCTGAGGCTGAGGCAGGCTGAGGCTGAGGCCGAGGCTGAAGGCAGACTGAGGCTGAGGCTGAAGCAGGCTGAGGCTGAGGCTGAGGCAGGCTGAGGCTGAGGCTGAGGCAGGCTGATGCTGAGGCAGGCTGAGGCTGAGGCTGAGGCTGATGCAGGCTGAGGCTGAGGCAGGCTGAGGCTGAGGCCGAGGCTGAAGGCAGACTGAGGCTGAGGCTGAAGCAGGCTGAGGCTGAGGCAGAGGCAGGCTGAGGCTGAGGCTGAGGCAGGCTGATGCTGAGGCAGGCTGAGGCTGAGGCTGAGGCTGATGCAGGCTGAGGCTGAGGCAGGCTGAGGCTGAGGCCGAGGCTGAAGGCAGACTGAGGCTGAGGCTGAAGCAGGCTGAGGCTGAGGCTGAGGCAGGCTGAGGCTGAGGCAGGCTGAGGCTGAGGCATGGGCAGGCTGAGGCTGAGGCTGAAGGCAGGCTGAGGCTGAGGCTGAGCAGGCTGATGCTGAGGCAGGCTGAGGCTGAGGCTGAGGCTGATGCAGGGTGAGGCTGAGGCAGTCTGAGGCTGAGGCCGAGGCTGAAGGCAGACTGAGGCTGAGGCTGAAGCAGGCTGAGGCTGAGGCTGAGGCAGGCTGAGGATGAGGCTGATGCAGGCTGAGGCTGAGGCAGGCTGAGGCAGGCTGAGGCTGATGCAGGCTGAGGCTGCGGCAGGCTGAGGCTGAGTCCGAGGCTGAAGGCAGACGAGATGAGGAGAAGCGGCAGGTGAGCTGAGGGGGTTGGGGGGTTTTTTCTTTGTACAGGCTGGAGGTGAGCAGCTAGGCTGAGGCTGAGGCTAGCAGGTCAGGTTGAGGCAGGCTGAGGCCTAGGCAGAGGCTGCAGGCAGACTGAAGGATGAGGCTGAAAGCAGGCGGAGGTCGAGGCTGAGGCAGGGCTGAGCAGGCTGAGGCGAGGCAGGCTGAGGCGAGCTGACGGCAGGAGAGCTGAGGCAGAAGCAGGTCTGAGGTGAGGCAGGCTGAGGCTGAGCTGAGGCAGGGGGCCCTGTTCAGGCTGAGGCAGGCTGAGGCTGAGGCCGAGGCTGCAGGCAGACTGAGGCTGAGGCTGAAGCAGGCTGAGGCTGAGGCTGAGGCAGGCTGAGGCTGAGGCAGGCTGAGGCTGAGGCTGATGCAGACTGAGGCTGAGGCAGGCTGAGGCTGAGGCCGAGGCTGTCATCACGAATGCGACTACGATTGCTGCGGGCGCAACGCAGCGCGGAGTCCCCGCGACTCGCGCGGGGCCGTGGGAACCGCATGCGGACTGCGCCATGAGTGGCGGGGGCGCATGCGAACTGTGCCACTGGGACCTTCGGCGGAGCTCCTATGGGGCCACGAAGCGCGTGAGGTGTGTGCCGAAATGAGTGGCGGGGGCGCATGCGAACTGTGCCACTGGGACCTTCGGCGGAGCTCCTGTGGGGCCACGAAACGTGTGAGGGGTGTGCCGAAATGAGTGGCGGGGACGCGTGAGAACTGTGCCACTGGGACCTTCGGCGGAGCTCCTATGGGGCCACGAAGCGTGTGAGGGGTGGGCCGAAATGAGTGGCGGGGACGCATGCGGACTGTGCCACTGGGACCTTCGGCAGAGCTCCTATGGGGCCACGAAGCGTGTGAGGGGTGTGCCGAAATGAGTGGCGGGGACGCATGCGGACTGTGCCACTGGGACCGTCGGCAGAGCTCCTATGGGGCCACGAAGCGCCTAACTGGGAGGGGTGTGCCGAAAGAATAGCGGGGAGACGTATGCGGACTGCGCAACTGGACCTTCGGCGGAGCTCCTATGGGGCCACGAAACGTGTGAGGGGTGGGCCGAAATGAATGGCGGGGACGCATGCGAACTGTGCCACTGGGACCGTCGGCGGAGCTCCTATGGGGCCACGAAACGTGTGAGGGGTGTGCCGACTTGAATGGCGGGGACGCATGCGGACTGTGCCACTGGGACCGTCGGCGGAGCTCCTACGGGGACACGAAACGTGTGAGGGGTGTGCCGAAATGAGTGGCGGGGACGCATGCGGACTGTGCCACTGGGACCGTCGGCAAAGCTCCTATGGGGTAACCAGTGAAACCGGGAGGTGAGATAGATGAACTCGCGAATTCACTGATTTTGGCCGTCCCCCTCCTCCTCCGACGGGGCGGCCGAAATCAGTGAATTCGCGAGTTCACTGATTGGGCGGCCCAAATCAGTGAACTCGCGAATTCACTGATTTTGGCACGGGGCGGCCGGAATCAGTGAATTCGCGAGTTCACTAATTGGGCTGCCAAAATCAGTAAACTCGCGAATTCACTGATTTTGGCCGTCCCCCTCCTCCTCCTCCTCCTCCACCTTCGGACGCCGTATCGGAAACTGTTTCGGAGCCTGTCTCGGAGGCCGTCTCGGAAGCGAGGCCGTCTCGGAGACCGCCTTGGACTGCCGTCTCGGAGGCCGTCTCGGCGCCGTTTCGGAACCAGTATCGGAATCGGTTTCGGAAGCCGTTTCGGGGGCCCTCTCGGAGGCCGCGTCGGCATCGTCCGCGTCGGCGTCGTCGGCTTCGGTTTCGGCGTCGTCTGCGTCTGCGTCGGCGCCGTCGGCCTCGCACTTCTACTTCTACACTTCTACTTCCACTTCTACTTCTACTACTATTCGCCAGGGGACAAGGAAAAACGGTCTCATGGCATCAGCACACGGAGAGAGGGAGATGCGAGGCGGCGGGCGAGGCTGGTCAGCCGGAATGGCAGCGCCACCTCTTCTTTGGTGCTTTGACCAGTGCGCACGCCTGGGCCACGCTCGGACTAAACCCAATCCCCACTGCAGATCCACTGCGATTGTGGGGCAGCGGTGTCAGGATTGCCCATGGCATCCGCGATGGTAGCAGCGGAAGAGACATGGGAGGCGGCGGGCGCGGCTGGTTAGGTTAGCCGGGATGGCAGCGCCACTATTCTGTGGGGCCTTGACCAATGCGCACGCTCGGGCCGCGCTCGGCCTAAGTATGGTTCCCACAAAACAACCTACTACTACTACTACTACTACTACTACTACTACTACTACTACTACTACTACTACTACTACTACTACTACTACTACTACTACTACTCCTACGCCTACTCT